ACGGCTGAACCAACTGCGTGTTCCTGTTGTGTGAGGAGTCAGACGGTGCCACCATCTTCCCTTCAGGGGAGCAGAGTGTTTCTTCACCTCTCTGACCGGCAGCTTAGGCAGTGTGTGTTTCCCTCCTCTCTGGTCTACTACAGAGATAACCCACTCAGTATTGCAGCTGAGCTTTAATGCCTCTTCTTGCATGCTGTAAGATTTTCAATTACTTGAAGTGATTTGAACCATTTCCCAGTTGCAGGATATGAAGTATCTGAATATTGGCATATTGGGTCCTCACTAACACCCAGTTCTTTACAGAGGGTCACGCTCTTTCCAGAACCACTCAGAAACCTCACTCTTACCTCTCTGTAACAATGGAGATGGCCTACTGTGTGCCGGAGCGGGATGCTCATTCTGTTCTGGCTTGAGAATTGATTTTAAGAAGTACTTTTCACCTTAAAAAAATTGATTTTGGATCAGCTAAAGACTTGATTGTTTACAAACAGTGTGAGTTAATTCTTACTTCCTTCAGGCTTCTATGTATTACGTGTAACATTTTGTACCACACTGAATACAACAGAGTTCACTCTCTACTACAAAAATGTAGCTGTCTATGGTTAGTGCTGAAAGGGCAAGCGGGAAGGGGTTACGGTTCTGAAGGCAACAGAAGCTTCACTCAGGAGCACGGAGGGAACACTGACACTCTTCCTGCAGTTTGCTTTTCACGTTACAGCGACTGACAACAGCCCCACGCTGTCTCCTGGGCCATGTGCCCTGCAGCACAGGGCGAGCTTGCTGAGTCACGCCTTGACCTTTCTCCTGCTGGATGTCCAGCATTGAAACGCTCTCTTTCCAAACTCTCTGCCCAGATGTCTTATTGCACGTCAGTACAGTGAAATAATTCAAGCTGGATTCTTCTTTCCACCATTTTCATTGTTCCTGAAATCTTCATCACGTTCGCATCACCTGTGGTCGTGTATTTCATTCCTTCCCCTCTCAGCACAGACTCCTCAAATGTTACCACTTCCTCTTCTAAAACACCCCAGAATCTACCTTTCTCTTCAATTACTACTGCAAAAATCCCTGTCTGTAATTAGGTTTTCTCTTCCTTCTTCCAAATTCCTCTTCTCAATCTCCAGTCATTTCAGCACTGGCCACTGCCCTCCCCTCAGCCAAAGATTTTGCGGTCACAGAGAAGACTGCAGCCAGATTGTCCAGCTAGCTGTCCCCTGTCCTCTCTTACCACCACCACCACCCACTTTATCTTCTAGGAGCAGACCAGAACGGTGTCCAGCAGACGATCCCAGAGCTGTCAGTCGCAAATAGCAGTTGTACACAAACGCATAAGAACTGAGCAAGTGTGCAGTGATGCTTTCCCTGTGCATCTTCCAGGCTGCAGTGATGCACAACCCTGGGACTTTGTCAGTCAGGGTGGTGTCTTTATATTTGCTCCTTCCATGCATTTACTGAGATCCGCTTTGAACTCATAAACTTTTGTTGTTCCCAGCTCCTGTGGCGGAAAGGTCTAACGAGATACTTGAAAAATCCAGTGTTACTTCTTGCTTTCTGTCAGGACACACTGAAAGCTACTTTTGAAATAATTACCCCTCTCTTTTGCTGTTTCTCTCATTTTACCTTTATTTTCCTTTTAACTTCTGTTTCCTGTATCTAATTTGAATGTCATATCCCTCTTTCCAGACCTTTTCATGCTCTACTGTCCCTTGCAAGTCCATTTTTTTTTTTCTTTTCCCTCTCAAAGGGCTTCTGCCAGACTAAGAGCAAACGATTTTGTTAGACTCGGACAGCAGGGTTCAGGCACCATAGAGTGGGGCCATGGGCAGGCAGCAGATGAGCCTGCATGAACTACAGGGGAAGGGAGGATTTGTTCTTTGAGCTGAGGATGGGAAGCTTGGCTGCTGGAAGGAAGGACACACAGGGCAGCTATGGGTCTCTTTGGAGGGGTTTTTAAACACTCTGTCTGTGGCCAGATTTTAACATCTAGTTGATCAGTCAGTCCCTGCAGAGCCCTGTTCCTCTTCCTCCTGTTATCTGTGTTTCTCCTAGAATACTCATACCGCGGTCTCATTTCCACCTGGCCTCACACTTCTGTTCAGTGCTGTAATACGGAAAAAGCAAGACTTAAATGGCTTGTATGGTTCTTACTGATTTTCCTAAAGAAGAGGACAGGAAGAGTCTTTCCACCTACGATTTGAATGCTACAGGAAATGTGCTTATTCCAGATACAGTACTTAGCTCACCCAATACCCTTGGCTTAGAGGGAGTTTGTTTTCAAAGATGTCATGTGTTGCACTTGTGTGATCCTGGGAATCAAACAGATACACTGCAGATTCACAAGTTCTTCTTTAACCTTTATTCCCAATCCATGCTAGTTTATGGTTTACCATGCTTTCTCTCTTGCAGATGGTATTTACTTGCAGATGGTATTTACTAGTAGGAGGGAAGAAGGGAAGAAGTCAGGCATGTACATCATCCTGTAGAAAGACATGTATAAGGAAATGAGTTTTTAGTGTCTTGTAAGATACTAAAAACTTTGTCACTGGGAACCAGTAAGGTTGAGAAAGACCAGACAAAATAAAGACTTTTAAAATAATCAAGGTCTTACCTAATCCTTTCTTTTCAAAAGACTTTAAATGTTTCTCCTTTTTCTTTTCCCTGCATTTTTGACCAGAATAAGGAATGTATGTTGGTTCTTTGGAATTGTGCAATCCATGACCTCTGGCCTTGAAACTATAAACTTTGTCTAGCTTTTTTTGTAATATGATGATTGTCGTAGGAAGAATGGCTGTGTTGGGGAAGTCCACTGCTCTTGGTATTAGCTCTTGGCACAGCTACTAATATTGTTAGAGGACGGTGTGAAGATAAAATTGCAGGAGCCTTAGTGCTGCGAAAGAAATCACCGCTCAATATTCAGGTCCTTTTGCAAATTTTATTGTGCAGCATCTGCAACAGTCAGTAACGAAGACCTCATTTCCAGAACAAGACAGACACAGCATTCCTTGACCCCAACAACACACTCCCAGAATATAGTCTCTCCTCTGTCCCTGACTCTTCAATCAATGAAAACCAAATCCAGGCATGATCAGCAGGATGTGTTTTCCTAGTCACTGCTTTTTAATTTCCTTTTCAGTAAACTGCAAAGCATGAAGAAGAGCAAGAGCGTGTCACATCATATAGCAATGAATACAAAAAGTGGAGCCCTTTTTAGTATGTTTTATAATGAAAATGTGGAGTATTCAGAGACCTGGAAAGAGAAGCAAACACTCAGACATACAGATTGGGTTCTCTGGGAGAGGCACCACTCTCTTTTGTCTCATCAGTACCAGTTACTCTGGGGAACTCAATCCCATTGAAACCCAGTGTTCCTTCTCTCTGATATGAAATAACTCCAGGCTGAAGACATACTACATAGTCATTGCTAATGAAGAAGGAGAACCTGCCCACTGTGGATTAGCCCACTTATGATTTTCTGTAGCTCTGCTTTCTTCGCTCATGCTTTCTTTTCGGGCTGACATATCCCTGTCTGTCCCAATAGAAGAATCTCCAAAATCTAGGCAATGTACATGATTACCAAGCAAGAGGTTTGGCTTGAGATGGCGGGTTATGCTTGCATCCTTCTCTAGCATAGTGTCTCTTTTACACCAGGACCTTATACCTCCTTTACCACCTCTTTTCTTCAGACATAGCAGTGACTCCACCCCCCCAGGTCACAGAAGTGTAGTCAGAAGCTCTTCAAGAAAGTCCTAGTTGCCCCTATACCATGTACTTGCTCTCAAGTCTAATTGTAAGAGGGGCAAACATTGCATACTGATTCTGTCTACTGATAGGCAAGGTACTCATCTTCCACTGGATTAAAGAGCTAAACACTTCTTTTCATCTGGACTGAAGCTCCTTCTCTGGGGAAGCTCAACAGCACTGACTTGTTAATAGGAGCAGGTGATTTCAACATGAAAGCTCTGTCTTTTCTCTCAGTTGCACAAGTATGCTGTACATCTGAACTTTCCACACTCACTTCCTCCAATAACTGTGGAGTCCTGGTTTTGGTAAGAAAAATAGTAGATCCTGTGTTTTCAGTTTACACAGCTGCTAACTTGCAGGGGCTGACAAAGATCTTATTTCTTTATACACGGTGTTTAATTTTTTTCTGCAGAGGATTTAATTCAGCTCATATTTCAGCAGTTGGAGAGAACCACCAAGTTCATCCTGCACCCTGCACTACAGGCGATTATTTTTAAAATACACATTTGTGCTGTTTGTGGAGCAATGGATTCTCTCTTGCTTAGTGAGGCTTCTGGGCTCTACAGTAAATACTGGTAAGTAAATAGTAAAAGAGAAAAATACGGAGTGGAGAGTTCGTTATTAAAGTCTAGTAACAGTCATCACTGAGCATTTACTCTGCTGTAGGGCTGTCTGTCTCTTCTTTCCACGGTAGTTCAGGCAGTTGAACTCCTCCATGACCTGCAGCATGGTCTTTCCTTTGGTCTCTGGCATCACCAGGAAGACAAAGATAGCCATGGACAGACAGTATGTCAGGAAAATGATGAAACAGAAGCTACCAAGACCTTCCTATAGGAAAAGAAAGAGACAAAATGTGTTCATGTAAATTGATCTAGATTTCTTTCTCTTAGGATATGGAGTTTCTGGTTTTGTATTTACTAAAAAACTTGGTCAGGGACTCAGCTGATGTAAATATTGCTTGCTGCCACATGGGGAATGGCATCGAGTAGTAAGATGAACTAATTCTCCTTTCCTGTTTTAAGAAGGAAAGTTGAATGCTCAGCAGAGATTGAATGTCATTGCTTGACAATTCAGAGAAGTGCCCGTGTTCCACATTAACCCCAAAGGGGATGCCCATACGGGACAAGGCGGGGGGAGAAGGGAACCCCTCATGACATTGAGATGATGTCTGGTCAGGGACTCAGCTGATGTAAATATTGCTTGCTGCCACATGGGGAATGGCATCGAGTAGTAAGATGAACTAATTCTCCTTTCCTGTTTTAAGAAGGAAAGTTGAATGCTCAGCAGAGATTGAATGTCATTGCTCGACAATTCAGAGAAGTGCTGAGCTTCAGTTACTCTTCCTTTCTGCTCCGTCCTTCTCAGTCAGTGCTAGATTGGGGAAGGTACGTAGTGAGTTAGCTCTGTCCCTCCTTGCACAGTCCGAAACTGCAAAGGCTTTAGTTTCCTGCTACTGACTAGTGCTGGGTGAGATCTCTGGGACTGCCCATGTTCCACATTAACCCCAAAGGGGATGCCCATACAGGACAAGGCAGGGGAAGAAGGGAACCCCTCATGACATTGAAATGATGTCTGACAGCGTTGGTGCCTCTGTCACCGCTTCTGTGTTTGCCAGCGTTGCACTCTAACTGTGTGTAGAGCTAGCAGCATTTTGTGATTTTGCTATGCCTTCACTAGATATCTGGGTAAAAAGAAAGAGGCCATTGGAATTGCAATTAGTTTGGGCTCTGTCCTTTGCATGAAATGTTGAAAAAGAGAAGTATGCTCTGGGTTCAAGAAGGGCCTAACCTCCTCTGAACTAAAATAAAACACCCTACTTTGCTTACCACAATGAAAGGGAACAAAAGTCCAAGGATGAAGAGTTGGATCCAGTTTGTAGCACCATTAAAAACATAAGCAGCTGGTCTGTATGACTGAATAAATATTTCTGTGGGCAAAGGGCATAATACTCCAGCTGAAAAAAATGTTAGAGAAAAAAGGAAGTTTAGAAACTTTGCAAGATGCTTCTGTAACTCACACTTCATATTGCCACATAAGTTAATGGTTTTAACTGACCTGGAAGTGTTTGAGGTGCTGCTTGGCTCTTCAGGAGGAAGGCATGTAGGAATGCAATATGAAATGAAGTTTTACCTCCCACCACAGTATGGAGGGGAACATCTACCCTTGTGCTCAATCAGGAGTAGGGATTCATGCTAACTGTGGAACAGCTATGCCTGGGACCTCTCCTAAAGGCTGCGGTGAGGAAGGAACGGGCATATGAAACCATTCCAGTAGAAAATACCAACCTGGCCCAATGCCAAAGCTCATGATGAAAATAAAGATGAGTGCAACAGAGCAGTATGGTACCCAGGAAAAGGAATCCTATGGTAGGAAATGAAAAGCAAATCAAATCAGAAGTTATGATTTTATTTATCCAGCTCCATTAGAAACATTCATCACTGCTAAGTATGTCAATGTTAAACATACATCTGTTTACTCTACTTCCAGAAGCTTCACAAGGAGATAGTCTTTGTGGTGATCATGGTTATATAAAGCTATTGGCTTTAATCTGCATGTACACGGCTGGGAACAGACCTCTGTTAGTATGATGGTTAGCTCCAAAAATACTTCTACTCCCACTAAAAAGTAATTTGGGGGAGGGAAATAGTAATGATATCTGCCATACAATAAAACATGGGACACATATCTAATGCGTAAGTGGGGTCTTACCTGTAGTGAAAGCGTGACTGTGAGGAGCCCTAACGTCAAGGCCATAACAGTGTAGCTTTTCCACAGCAGTGTCTTCCTCCCTGCACGCTCAATTAGGAAACCCTGCAACCAGAGGGACATGCTGTCAGCTCCAAAGGGCAGACCTCAAAGGCAGACACTGGTGAACTGCTCTGCTAGCTGCCTTCACTGGCCAGGCAGGGGATCTCTGAAGAGTTGGGGACTGGGATGTGGTACCTCTGGGAGGGTGAGGAAAGGTATCTGGGGGGACTGAGCAGGACCAGGACTTGCAGGGAGCGGGCGAAGGTGGGGAGGTGTAGGGCTGCAGGGAGCATTGCCCGAGCAGAGGAGACCTGAGGTGGCACTCTGCAGGCAAAGGACAGCCAAGGAGGACAGCAAAGTGGAAATGCTTGCACTGTTAATTGCTGTGAATCCTAAAGCCATGAGTCCTGCCAACAAGTGGTCACAGGGACTGTCATCTCCCCTTCCTATGGGGGGAACTGCGATTCCCAAAGGTGGCTCAAGCTGGGTCATGATTTTGAGGGAAAGACTCTCCTGTCCTCCCATAAATTGAATATAAATGCCCATGTTTGCAGGGTGTGTGGAGATGATTTTGTGTGATCAGTGCAAAGTACTGTGTTTGATTTGTTGCAGAAGTTTGATTCCTGAAGCTCCATTTACAGTAGTTCTAAAGATTGAAATGAACCACGCATTACAGCAGAATGAAATTCAGCTGAAGATCCACTTACACACAAAACTGTGGTGAGGATCTCAGTGATCCCAACTCCCAGGGAGACATAGCGGGTTTGAGCCGGGGGAATTCCAGCCTTTATAAAGACACTGTATGCATAAAAGTAAACCTGGAAAGAATAGAAATTTGTGAAGGCTGTACCCATGTGGTCATGTTTACACTAGCTTCTGTCTTCAGGCCTTAACAAAAGCTTTTAGCACTGCCTTTGTCTTATGTTACAGGTTGTAATTTTATCTGACATCTTTCACATGTTCTAGTGTCTCAGGTACTTTGGATGAGGAGCATATAGAAATGTGGATGGTTCATACTAAGCAAATGGTTTAAAATATCTTTTAATATCATCTTTAAGCCTTTGCAGTGATTTTGATAGTCACTATTTTTCCAGATGTAAGCACTCCTAAAGCATAAAAAATTCCACTGTTAATATGCTCAATTTCTACTGGCCCTTTGTAGAAGTGGTAGGAAGGGGTCTTATGAACCTTGAAGTCTTTGTGAATTTGCAAAATTAATCTGGATTTTGAAGCTTTTATGCCTTTACTATAAGTTCATTTTATACAATAACTATTCCAATACTCAACACTGTCTACTGAAACAGAGAGATTTCCAGAGAAAAGGTCTGTTAGAGAGTATATAGCAGTAACTGTCACATATATTACTGGGATATTGTAATTGTCTATAATCTGAGAAAGTGCAAAGTTAAAAGGATTTAGAGGGAAACCCAAACACTGTCAGTGTACATTTCAAACCTGACTCAGTTTGCACTGAAACAGCTGAACAATTTTGGGCAGAGCATTCTGGAGTTCAGAGACCCAGAGGAGGTTATACTGTTCTTTACCTGTTCTGTATTTGAGATTTTATTTTATCCTCTTCCATTCTCTTATCCTAACAGGGTAATCCATAGAGATATCTTCAGATGACACTTGCTAAAACACAGTTCTCAACTTATCCCAGGTCCTAAACTTCCATGGGAAATGATTATAATAAACAGTAACAACAGATCCCCTCCTTATAGCCACTGTTGCAGTCAGCATTTTACTACTCATTGCAAAGCTTTCTTTTTGCCAAGAAACTATAAGCAATCTAGAAAGCAGAGAAAAGTAGCACACATACCACATTGATGCCAATTAACTGCATGCATGAGGAGACAAGGAAGAGAGTGATGAGCTGCCAACGGACACCTTTGTCACGAAAAAGATCACAAACACTCTTAGCCTTCTCCCCACGGATGGCTTCTCGCTCTGCCATCATGTCATCTATTTCGGCCATATGGTCACCATCTCCCCAGAGCTGCTTCACAGCTGGAAGGAGAGGAAGAGAGAAGATGACTCCTGGTCCAAGCTCACCAGCAGAGAAATTAATGCAGAGTGTCTTATTTGAGCTTCAGGTTCTTTGCTTGTGTGAACTTCCTAGAGATCTGTGTTCAGATTAGACACAGATCCAGTTCATTGCTATCTATTTTAACCCATAAATCTTAATCACAACCTCACCTTTGGCCAATAGCTGCTTACAGCGTTTCAGTGTAAATCACATCTAAATTCTTACCAATCCTTCCTCGAATACTCTCCTGCTAAAAGTGCAGTTCTAGTGCACACACCAAAACACGGACAAGGAAAAATGACTCCTACATTAAAAAATAAGACTATATCCAAAGAGTTCTCTCTTTTGATAGTTAAAACCCCACAATGGCTGTTTCTCTGTTTATGTCAGTAGTTGCTGTTAGGGTTACTGAAGAACTGGAATGCTTACAGGATGTGGCATGACAGTAAAGGGCACCCCTTTTTTACACAGAGCCATAAGGTACCGTATCCACCCCGTGCCTGTTCAGGGCAGAATCTGTATTGATGGAAATACAAGCTCTGTGTGATCACATACCTTGGAGGATCCTGGCAGAGGGTATGGGAAATACTAGTGCCAAGAGAGCACTAATATCAAAACAGAAGAGGCTATCTTTCATTAAAGCCGAAGGTGGTTTCAGAGCCAAAAGACCAAGAGTCTTTTTCCCATCTGTACCTCTCTTCGGGGCTTATGTGGGGCTTTACTGTATTTTCCACTTTTTGCTAAAACGAATGCTTTGTGGCCCATTTCCTTACCTTTGATGCACCCCTCTTTGTCCTTTTTGTCAATAAGCAGGTAGCGAGGAGACTCTGGGAAGAAGGGGAGGGTGAGAAGCTGAACAAGGGCGGGAAGCGCATTGAATGCCATGAGAATGGGCCAGAGAGTATCTACTCCGAGAACTTCTCTGAAACAAAACCAGCAGAGCAAGAAGAGCTGAGCAACCCATGTGTGCTGCCCGTGCGAGCACACGCAGACCCAGGGTGGTCCCTCTGCCCTGCTGCCTGTGTCCTGGTGGCCCTCATCCAGGAGTCTCCAGCATTTCTCACCCCAGAAAAATGAACATCTCAATGGGAGGTGGAAGGGGAGAGCAGAGTGCTGTGGCCTGCAGCACACGAATTACACACTGTTGCCACCTGTTGCTGAGCGGTGAGTGCAGCAAGGCCAACTGCATCCTCCGGCAACAGCTGAGCACCCACAGGGATGAACAGTGTCCCGGCAGGAGCACTGGCGAAAGAACCTGCGGTGGCTGATCCCTCTGGTTCTGATCCAAAGAGTCTCAGGTTACAATTAAGACAGGATCCACGGGTTATCAGCCTGGTACTGACTGCCCTAAATAGCACTCACTGGGTTTCCTGCAGCTTTGAGAATACTTGTGGCCAGAAAGACACGTGCCGTGGGAACAGGACGGACCATCTTTGGCACAGGACAGGCAGAAGGAGCCTGTGCTGAGGGGAATGAATCCACCATAGGTTTCTAGTTTTGCATGTGTGTTTGATGAGGGGGTGTGCCGTTTTGTGTGTATTTCCATGGAAGTTTGGATGGATCTGATATTCCCTGCCCCTTCTGAAAAACTAAAAAGTAAAGGTCAGTTCTTACAAAAGATGGATTTCTTTCAAACCCATTGAAATCTGTTAAAGGTTTTTATTATCTGCATTTTGATCTGTCTTTACTAGGAAGCAACCTCATTCTTCAGGATTAAATATTTTGTATGATTTCTGTTTACCATTCACTTAAGTCAGGAATTTGGGCTGAGCTAATTCAGTCTGGCTGCCTAGAGTACCCTGAAAACATGTCTAAAAATAGTTGCTGATTTGGCTATCCATAGGCTTGCATTGACATATGCATATATTTTAATAACAGAATAAATTAAATAGGTCTCAGATCCCCTTACCTGAGACCCAGCGCAAATCCTACAAATTTTCCAAGGGCAATGGCAGTAGAAGCTGTTATGGTAATCAGCCCGCGGAGGTTCCGTGGGGCACATTCCCCAGCATACATGAAATGGATATTCAGAGCTAAACCTGCAGTGATAAATGACTGTTAGGGCATTTCAAACTCCCATAGGTCTGGTGTTTTGGAGGGGACCATTATGGGGAAAGAATATAGAGTTAGGCTCTTTTTTAACCATGCTGAGTATGTGTCTGCCTGACATGAAGCATGTTCCCAGTACCGTGGCCTTGTGTCTTTGCTAAATATTTCACTAACCAAGCATGGTCCCCTAGGAAATCTGTTCTTCAGAAGACTGGCCTTCTCTTACAATGTTTACTACAGCCACATATACAGGATTGCTGTTGCTCCCTTTAATATTTCAGTGTCTACTCAGGATGCTATCTGTTTTATTTTGTGCTTGAAAGCAAGAAGTTAATAAATGCTATCTATTCCATTTACTCAGTGAATTAATTAAGATTTACCCTCTCTCTTAATTTTTTTTGCTGGTTAGTATTACCTTTATCCAACTGCTCAGGGATCGTAAACACTGACAGAATGTAACCTTCTGAGGCAACTGGAAATTAGAATTGCCCAGCTTGAAAACCATTCTCTTGTGTATAATATGGAAGGCAGTATCAGCCACAATGAGAAGCAGCAGAAACAGCAGAGGTCAGCTTTCTATTGAGTGCGCACACTCCCCTGAAATATTGCATATTTTGGCTTTTTCACAAGTTGGCAGTACTTTTTATATGGATTGGATGTAAAGATAAAAGAATGAGAAATGGAGATGCCACACATGATTAATTTAATTATGTTTGTGCTTTCTTATTTAGTGAAAAATACATTCAGCAATCAGGCCCTCTGCAGAGACTAGTAAAACTCTGTGATCTATATGCTCAGTCTGGTAAATCTTTGTGACCTTCAGTCACTGCTTTCCCAACTATTTAATACCATAGGTAGGAGTGCTAATTTACCTCCACACACTCCAGAAAATAATCTTCCAGCAATGATCATCTCAAAGGATCCACACAGACGGCTGAGTCCCATCAGAGCTGCGCTCAGCAGAGCTGGGATATTGACGAACAGCATGGCCTTCTTCCTGGAATTCATTTAAATTAATGTGAACATAAATATTGTCCACATGTCATTCACAGCCTGACAGAAGTGGCATGAATTGTACCATGGTTAAAGAGTCTGTGCTGGCTTCTGAGATCAGCTGCAGTGAAGTAAATGGGAAATGGGAATGGGAAAACTTTGTCACGGACTGATAAGCTAGTTGAAGCTTTTGATGCCTCTAGTGGAGCCCAAATCTACACTGCAGAGCAAGCTTTGCGAGTGGGTGGTTGTGAAATTCACTTTAAAATGCATGCATTCCTCATGTGATTTCTCTGGACTGGACTGGATTCGCTTTGGAATTTATAAGGGAGAGGGTATGATTTTCTTTGTGAACATTGGCAGATGTTACCATTCTGTTTCTTCACTGAACTGATCCTTCATCTGGAGCAGCTCTGGGCTGCTCACAGTGTCACTTCACAAGCAGTGTTTCTCCCAAGACACAGTCACTTATTTTTGCGGTTGTGGATGTAAACAGAAAGACTAACGTAATCATTATTCCTACCTTCCAAATCTAACAGACAAATATCCAGCAGGCAAGGACCCCAGAAGCCCACCAATGCTGTAAATGGACACAACAAAGGACCACATCAAAGTAATCATCTCTTCACTGGGAGAAGAGCCATATCTCTTCAGCCAGGTCTCACGGATGAAACTTTTGATGTACTTTAACAGAAAAACAGAAAACAATGGACTCAGTCAACATGTTTTTGCATAATTGCACCTCTTTTTTACTTCTCTTACCTACTTACTGGTCTTTTTGATACACTTCTATCGACACCTTGGTTGAAATCTTAGCCCCGGTGAAATCAAAGGGAATTTTGCCACTAACATCCCTGAAGTTAGTGTTTTAGTAACAAAGTGCAATGAATAAATCAATGAATAAATAAATCAAAAATCAACCACTAAGAGAGTGGCAGGTTGGTCTTCTGTTTATGTGCTAAATCCTGATTGTTTTGCTACTCGATCTTCCCCGCCATTCCCACTTGTCTCTCTGTCTCTCTTGTCTACCTGCTGCATGCTGTCTGATGCCTTGGGTGAAATCCAGGTTTGACTTCAACTGACCTCAGTGAGATCAGGATTTGTCCCTTGATGTGGCCCATTGTGGGGTCTCTGTGACCTCCTGTTCATAACCTCCATGGCACTGTCATTCTTGATGAGGGTTCCCAATGTGGTAATAGTATGAGCTGAATGTCCTTGGCACCATGTAGGATGACAAACACATCCTCTAATTTTCCTTTTCCAGCTGCAGGTATCAGTGCTAACCTCAGCTCTAGAGTGACAGTCCTTCCCTGTCCTATTTCACCTTACAGGCAGTCACTTAGACCTAGTGTGTGTGGCCAAGCACATGGTACAAAGGACTCCCTGAGCACTGGAAAGAGAATATCCTGTGAGCCATCCAACTCAGTAAGGGGAAAATGACTGACTTTATAGACATCACTCATCCTCCCCTTTCCCAGTTCTGTCACACCAGACAGAAGATAAAACCTCATGAAACACAAAAGCAATAGCAGCTACTCTTAGAACTAAGAAACCAGAGTAAGTCTAGTTTTGAGAGCAGAAGTGAAGAAGTTAGTGATTGCATATAGGTAGGAGAACATTGAAATCCGTGCTGGTAGCTCAATTTGAGCTATCCATGCTTACCTCGGCAGGAGAATTGATAATGGAGACCTGCAACCCATACTGGAAAGCTCCACCAATGCCCAGGACAAAAGCCAGAAGGAAAAGGTTGTAGCTCATTTTCTGGCAGGAAATAAAAAGAGCAAACAAAGTCGATACAGTTATTCAGGCATGCCCTCAACTGTCCTGTTTTACCTCCAGAACTCTAACAGCTTGAGCAATGTCACGCACCTGCCTCCTCTGAGACCAAGGAGCCAGTGCAGACTGCAATAGAAGACCACAGCTACTAAAGCACAGGACAGTGAGAAATTTGAGGAGAGGCAAAGCTCGTAGCTGTCTCCCAGAACCCAGTTATACACTTCAGTGCTTCTGTCTTCAGCTTTGCCTGTCTTAATCTGCGCTATCATAGGGTAACTAGTTGCGGGAGCATGGTGCAACATGCAAGCATTATGTGCATGATTTCCATCTATGTGTCCTTCCTCCTCCTCCTCCTTTCCCACTTGTTATCTCACCTAAATGAATATTTTGCCCAGTCACTTGGCTGAGACTAGATAAACATGTGGGGATTGAAGGACATTCCTGGTTTCATAGTTTATTCACCCTTTCTTAGAACTACATCTGATAGGAGGCTTAGAATATACCCCCCCCCACCCCCCGACATAGTACTGCACTAGTTGCATATGCTATCCCTCCCACTCCCACTGCTCTCTGTTACTGAGTGTCCTAGTGACAGTCTGTCCAGCAATGATGGTATGATGCTGCACTTCTAGCTCTAGAATGGATCATATTCAAAGGCAATGCTGAATGATGACTGCCAAACATTTACAAGCTGATTTCTAATCAGATGAATGCCATTGCTTGAATGGGCATCAAATTTATGCATGTTGCAACATCGTTGGCTTCAAAGGAGTCAGCTCTGATTAAAGCTGGTATTTGGCACATTCATATATTAAATGACAACAGTCTCCTGTTTGTCAAAGCACTAGGAAGAAATGAGATTCACAGGCTCTACTACTAGATATCCCTACTATCCTTCATGCTACAAAAAGTGCCACACATCAGCATGAAACTCCCCATCAGCAAGAAAATCAGTAAGCCCTATTCTAAGTGCAAATTTCATATCGCACCTGCAGCAAATTTCTTAATCTTATCCCCATTCTGTACTATGCTACCACTGCTTGATTTTTCTGTTTCATGTCTTGGGTGACTTCTCCAGTCTAACAGATTTTAAATTCAGGAAGATTTTTTTAACTTCATATTCATCCTAAAATTGCTTTTTAAAAACATTTTTGTTTTATCTTTTCTCAGTATCTGTTCCTATATTTCCTTGACTGGAAAGGATTGTTTTCCATCCTTTGGTGTTTACATCTTTCAGATACTTTGATTCATAACTCTCTTATTGTAGAAGACTTTTTCAGTCTTCCAGGTCTCCTCCATCTATCAAATCATGTAGCTTTTTTGTTGCTATGCTCAAACTCCCTTGGTTTGTCTTCCCTTGTTATGTATCAGACATTAAATATAAATGTGCTCTTAAATCCAGTTTTCTTTGCTTTTTAAAAAGAATCCCTTGCAAGATATTTGATATCTTTCAGATATGACCTCATACTATTATTTTAACCACATCTGATTCAGATTTACTTTGTTCTCTGCACTTAATTTATGCAACAGGTCTTTTAGAATAGCAGAAAGGAAAAAAATATGTACTGCAAAAGTTCTATTTAGGGGGAAAAAAAAAGATAAACATATACCAACTTGCATGCAAAGGTAGTTATCTCCGCTTGCAGACTAAGTCTTTCCTGACGCTGTCTTTGGTTACTTTGGAAAAAGTCACTCTATATATAGAGAAAGAGGAGCCAGAGATAATATTTTAACACGTCATTTCATTCTTTCTTAGTGTTTACACTCCCTTTGGTTTCTTATGAAGTTCTTGCTATTTGGTTTGTCATTATTGTGTTGGTTACTGATGAAACCGTGGATAATTTTGGTGAGGTGTGCATTCATGCCAGGTCACTAGGGAAGAGAAGCTCCAGCAGCAGCTGACAGACAGTAAGAGCTGCAGGAGATAAGTAAAGGACAATAAAGAAGGCACTGATGGAAGCCGAAGTCCAGGGACTGGCGCAAACTAGAGTGGACTGGCTTGGACTCCCCAAGTCACAAGTTAGGTAATCAGTTATCTCATTTAAAGGAAAAGTTCCTGACTGCTACTTTGACCCTCAACACAGCAAAGCCTTCTGAAGCCTGACTTGACTCAGCCTGACTAAGCCTGTGTATTCAACTCTTGAATTACGGGATCAGCTGACACTTTAAGAGTAATAGTCATTGCCTGAAAGTTCAAGTCTGTGTCCCTATAATATATGGTAGATGCTAGGAAAGTTGAATGTCAGTTTTAAATCCTGACTGTAAAATAAATAAATTACATCTTCACTTATATCCATAATTCTCAAAGGGCCTCTTTATGTAGCAGTCTCCAAGATGGTTCTGTTAAAAGGCTTTTACAAGTTATTCAAACAGCTTAGGGGGAAATTCCTTCCCCTGGTGAGTGGCTGCACTTGGCGGTGCCCCAGCCTAGGATGCTGCGTGTCTTCGGTGTCTGGGTTGGAAGTGAGAGGTGGTTTGTGCATTGTCTGAGGACAGCAGCAGTAACTATTTTTCTTTGGTGTTGATTGTTATTAATCAATCCAACAGTGCACGGTTATTTGATTTGTAAGCAATAATATGAACTATGAGTCTCTGAGGATCATTTTTCCAGATGTATTTTTGCCTAACACTTCACGTGATAAGAAAATTGTCCTGAACAAGTGTCATATATGTTTTCAGTTGAAGGTGTTTTAATTCAGTAACAATTAACCAACTTGTTAAATGCTTCAACTAAAATGTAACCAATTAGATCAATTAAAATGTAACCACCGTTTGTCTTTGCTTAATCAGTCTAAACATACCTGATTTCAGGCCATAGTCAGAAAAAACACTGGAAGTTGGAATTAGTGTTTTCTGACACATGTACTCACAGGACTGGCTCTGAAACTCAGAAAGTCAAGTAATTTCTGAACAAGCATGTTTCATACCGTCAGGTGCAGATGGCCTCCATCCTTCCAGGGCTCTGGGGAACGGCACAACAATACTGATTCATGGGAGTGGCCACAGAGGTGGCCAAGGTGAGGGCCTCTGGACATTGCAGGGCTTCTCCCAGTTTTAACCAATTCTTCTCTGACTTGTACATCCCAGCAGCGTGTGCCAGGCCTCTCTCTCTGCCCAGGCAGTCTCTTCAGTCCATCCCCTGCTTCCCAGCCTGCATCTTCTCTACTGTCTTGTCTTCTTTGCTTCACTTCTGTCTCCTGTCCTTTCTCTGATCCTCACCAAAGGAATGACAAAATATTTTGATACCATCATGATGGTACCAACATTTTTCTGCTTTGACTGTGTGTTTTACTCTTCCAATCCACCCCTCACTGCTCTCTCCAAACTATAGAAATGAAAGGTATCTCTGCAGTTCCCAGCTCCATGGAGTCCTGCTCTTGATTGTCTTGTCTCAAAATCCTGAGTATTTCAAAATCTCTGTGTTGCCCAAGAGCACAGATACCTGCTTTTGCCTGTATCTCTATACAAATGACTTCTAAAACACCAGCAACCACTAATGAACAAAAGTTTAGTTTTATTTTTCCTATGTTATAAATCTTAGCAGTAAAAGATTGTTCTTGCACAGATTCCTCTTCTGAGAAATAGATCTGCTGCTCCACTCATGCCCAGCATGACAGTAATACACTCTGGCAATGTTAGTAGTCTTGTCATTCAAAAATGCTGTATTTTTAAAAAAATGTAATTAAAAAATATACTGAAAGAAACTTTTAACTACTTATTTTGAAAATGTATGTGTTCCTCTTTGCTGCAACCATCAGCAGTGCTCTGACTTTCATACAAACAAAGCCAAAAGAAAAGAGATGGCTTGATTATGATTTTGAAAAGAAACTGGAATAAACTTCACCAGTCAACCCAATGCCTATGAAAGGCAATATTAAATGAGGAGTGTTGCCCTGTTCTGCACAAGGTTAGCTAAAAAGAATCAGTATCATATCTGGGTCTTTTCCAATGTGCTTTTTGGAGACAACAAAAACATGCTGCAGAGAATGTTCTGCTGTGATCTAAATCTCCACATCCAAAATAAGCTACTGCCATAACAGCTCCTCACCACACTCTAACCTTGGCAGAGCGCAGGTGTAAAACCCCACAGGATGCACCAGCAGTGTCCGTGAGAGCAGTACAAACCTGATGAGAGAATTACTTGTGCTTTACATCATGGGACTGGAAGACAACAAACAAGCCATGAAGAAAATCAGTCCAGAATAAATAGTCTGCAAAACAATGTCCAAAAGTCAGTTGTATAATAAGCCACTTAGCAAGTACTAGAAGCTTTCTTCCTAATTTATCTATCACGTGTTTTTATAGTTGAAAATAATTAACTGCTCACTATTGCTCAACAAGTAGGGGTCTGTTTGAAATCACTTAATAACAGAAACAATGGGAGCACCAAGACAAGGTACTGAGAAGTTAATCTGGTGTCTGAAAACAGAACTTAGTCATGTTCATTTCTGTGTTAGACAGCCCAGATTCAGGGACAAGGAAAGAAAGGCTTCTGAGATGGAAGTTACTGTTTGGGTGGAGGAGAAATATAAAAGAAATTCAGAAGAAATTTGCTGAAGCATTGCATGGTGGTGTTTCATGATAAGAGAATAAGGCATCATTCTGTCATTCTCTCATATGGATTCTAAAATGTGTGTTACTTAGCACTAAAAACTGAAAACAGATTATTCAACTTTTGTTGGGATTTATCAGTTCAAGTATATCTTTTCAAGGTGAACCTAAGAACCTAAGAGTAATATATTGTCCCTAACCCTACTTCTCTCTTTGTGTCCCTGCAAGAGAACATAGTCACTGCTGATTTTCCCCCAGATACTATTCTCCTTTCTTCTGCTACAACATGTTGGGCTTGATCTCTTCAGGGCCTTTATAAAAAAATCGCATGGGTCTGAGCTTTGAAGTTCCATTTCTTGAACTCCTCTGAGATTTCTAGGAAGGGATTTCCCTTTGTCTCAGGAAGGAAAAACTCAACATAGAGTGCAGTG